TGCTCCTCCTCTTCCTCTCCTCCCCATGATAGGGGGAGGGCCTTAGCAGAAGGGGCTGTAGATGGGGCTGCAAGGCTGCCTCCCCCAGAAACTTCTCAAGTCTTCTCAAATGTTCTCCGTGACAGACAATGTGACAGACACCTCTCCTTTTATAATAGTATAGATTAGCCCCACAAGGAGTGTGTATATATTATATACACCTATTGACCTCTTCCTCTCCTCCCCATGATAGGGGGAGGGCCTTAGCAGAAGGGGCTGTAGATGGGGCTGCAAGGCTGCCTCCCCCAGAAACTTCTCAAGTCTTCTCAAATGTTCTCCGTGACAGACAATGTGACAGACACCTCTCCTTTTATAATAGTATAGATTAGCCCCACAAGGAGTGTGTATATATTATATACACCTATTGATTCAGAAAGACTATTCCAAAAGTTTCTGAACTCAAAAGGCAACTGAGGTAGGCACATCTCTCATGCATTGGCCTGACACAGGAGAGTTCTCTAGGCAGGGCCACTTTATGATAATAAGCTAATGATCCCCTAAAGAAAATAACTCAGGCAGTAACCTGATTAGTGAACAGCTGATAATTAACACTAACATAGGATTATTATTTTTAAAAAATGCTAGTCTTTCTTGATCCTGCAGGATATTAGTTAATTCTGAGGTGCTCATTATGCTGTAACTGGTGTATCACTAGATATTCTATAGTGCCTGGATGGAGAATTTTTTGACCATTGAGAGCCAAAACCAAACTGAAATTTCTCTCTGAGATGAGCAGAATCCCTCTTCCTGCCCCTTTCCCTAGCTTGCACTTCTAACACTACATGCTATCAAGGAATGAACATGGAGGAATGTACCAAGGAGAAAGGAGCTGAGATGGAGCTCACAGAAGGTAAACCGGTTATAGAAAGTTTGCTAAAAAGTTTACGTCTAGTTACAGCATCACTTAACAAGGGTCCAGGATAAGTGGGAGAGGCTCTTTTGGAAAGAAGAGAGGAAGCAAGGAAGATCATAACATAATTATCTCAGCTAATAACCTTGAGGAGGTCTATAATTGTGTTCAATTTGCAGGGTAAAAGCCAACTAAATACACACACTTTGTTTAATGGACAGAAGTGAATAGCAGACAGGACATGCTATTGCCTAAAGAGATACTGAAGCAATTTAAGTATATAAAACAAACAATCCTGTGCCTCTAACTAAAGTAAAGTTAGGTTTCTAGAGATGCAGAGAACAATTAACATGCAATAATTGACTTTTTTCACTTCTGTCCTTGCCCCTTTGCAATCTCCCAACACAAACTCTCCCATAATGAGGGGTGCATTAAAAATAGCCTGACCTCTCAGACTTCACAGTTCAGGCTATCTTCTCTAGATGGTTATTCCTTCATTGTTAAAACCTCCACATTGGTCATTAAAGCAACATACCCTCAGGTCTTTGTACAATCTCTCTTCCTTAACCTCCTTTACTCCTGCCTCTCATTTTTTTCCTGCCTCTTTTTTCTGGGTCTTCAATATCTATCACAGGCCACAAGAATTACAAAATGGCTGCTATCGGTTCTTTGCCTCTCCTATTAGCCCCACAGAAATAAGTAAATAATAGAGCAGTTTAATATACATGGAAAGCAAAGTTCTTCTTGATTGTCATTACACATGTAATAGATCTGTATTGTGGAAACCACGAATCAGTTCTGCCATCAGTTGTGTTGGGGTAAATCCAGAGTAACAGATGTAGTCCATGGAGTTGCTCTGCATTAACATCAGTGTAACTGATGAAAGCAATCCTGGAGCCAAATTATACCTTTTTCTCTTATGTTTTTGAAAACTGTACCGAATGATAAAACAAAACATTTTTGACCAATAGGCTAAACATGTATGATTTAATGATTGGTTGCATTTCTCCTTTCTACCACTCTCCAAAAAAATCCGTTTTGAAGTGGTATACAAAATCTCGAGCACAAAGACATTCAGAAACATCTTTCAAAACAAATGGTCACAAATAATGGCTGTTGCAATTTCACAAGGCATTTTGTGTAAGTTCTTGCAAAGAAGTGGGTAGAACTGCATAAACTCCACTAAATTCAAAGATGAGATCAAGTAACTAATATCTAAAGGCAGGAAGACTAGAGAATCCAACAGCATATGTCTCTGTGACAGACCTGAATTCAACTTTGAAGCTGTGAATACAGTTGCTGTTGGAGCTCAACAGGGAGTCAGGTGCTGCTGCTGCTCCAGCTGTTACAACTAGAGCAAAATATTCTCCTACAGATTGGAAGTGATGATCGCTGGATTTAGTTGACAAATGTCACAGTAAGCATGTTTTTTTGGGGAAAAAATACTAAAATGCTGTTGAAATAGCATTTCAAGAAACCACAACAACTATGAACATATTAATATGGACAGTACATTTACCATTTTTGCTGAAAAACTAACGATGTAATATGACTTTGATACTAAGTTTTTTTTCATCCTCACATCAAATACGAGGTAAACAGATGGCAGCATTTTTAAATTCATTTCCCCAATGAGTCTTGAGTAACATACTAGCACATAATGTTAGAGTCTTTTAAAAAACAGTATTTGGGCTAAATATTACTACATTTGTTTGGGTGCATAGGTGCTTATTCTCTATTAAATGGTTTTATTTATTCTCATGCAGGATAAATCCTGAAATTAAAAGAGTCATTTGGGAGTTGGGCAGTGAGATAAAGCAGTAGTAAAAGTTATCACAGACCACCACTCTATGTAACCTACACTGAGTTTGATAATGCATATGCTTGAGCCAATGGTACTAAGTACCTCTCAGGAAAGGGCTAAAGTCTCTCTCTCTCTCTCTCTCCCTTGTATATTTTACACCTCTCATGCAAAATGAGTAAGGAGACCATACATGGCCAAGAGTGTTTGGAGAGCTTTGATTGTGTGTGTTAATTAGTGTCTCTCTCATACCATATCACCTTAACTAAAGTGAAAAGACATGAAAGCATTTAATGAATGAAGTTGAAAGACAAGATAGCTGCATCTGAACTTCAAACTGTTTTACCAGTGATGGGCCAAAAAACAAAAACAAAATTTCCTCTGAAGCTTCACCCACACACCAAACTCAAGTGGTTCAAGTAGACTGAACCCACAATGAGTTTATAGTTTGGAAAAAAAAAACAGGTAACAAGGTTCTTCAAAACCAACATAGAATTTTGTTGGTACATATCAGAGCATTTGTAATTTCAAGGTGTAGTAGTTGTGGGAAAATTTCCTGCTGGGAAATGTTAGGTTAGCTTGGTTAACTTCTTCAAAGGGTCCATTTCATCCTAGTGACCTCTCTTCTAGGTATAAAGTGGCCCTCAACTTAAATCATCCTGCAAAGAGTCAAGAAACAAGACAGGTGGTGGCCAAAATTGCCTTTGAATAAAGTATTTGTTGGTGCTTCTTTGATGGGTACAGTAAGTTATTTCGCTCAAGGAATACAGAATCACATGAGATGTGATTAACTGCCTGGAATGTTTAGACTCAATCTGCTAAATGAAGATGTGATTTAATATTTTACCATGCACATTTTTGTGGAGTCCCAAGTTCTGAGCCCACCTGATAAGACTGTATATTCTTGAAACAGGCACTATGTATTACAGGAAAGAAAGTATAACTAAAGAGTAAAGCATTGGAATAGGAGTCAGGAATCTTGGGTTTTCCTCCTGGCTTTACCACTGTTGTGCTACGACACT